GGGACAAGCAGACTCCACACTGAGTATGGAGCCGGATGGGGGCTTGATCCCAGAATCCTGAGATCATGACCTGAGCTAAAACCAAGAGTTGGACACTTAACCAACTGGGCCACCCAGGTGCCCCAAGATAACTGTGTTTTTGGTTTTTTTTTTTTTTTTTATATTTTAAAAAAGATTTTATTTATTTATTTGACACAGAGAGAGAGAGATCACAAGAGGCAGAGAGGCAGACAGACAGAGGGGGGAGCAGGCTCCCCGCCGAGCAGGGAATCTGATGTGGGGCTTGATCTCAGGACCCTGAGATCATGAACTGAGCCGAAGGCAGAGGCTCAACCCACTGAGCCACCCAGGCACCCCAAGATACCTGTATTCTTAAGGCAAATTTTATATCTGTCCAAATCAACTTTTTAGATCTGGGAGAAATCAGAGATCATCTGGTTAATGCTCAGGTTGTCAAACTGAAGTAGTTCTAAAGGGATATATCTCTGGTCAACCAGGTGATAGTAAGCGGTGTGAGAAAACATGATATGTCCAATTTATTTGAAGATTTTGGGGAAAACACATTTGTAAACACTGGCATATACTTAGTGCTCATTAAAGCTAAAGGAGTAACTGTGGAAACAAACAAACAATATTAGGAATAGATGTAAAACTCACCTGATTGTCCACGTAGGAGTTATAATTCCTTCTGGAAGCTATTTTTAAGCAAAATCTTTAGACCTCATAAGGATATAATCTATAGTCATTCTCCTCTGCTGTTAGAACTGTTTGAGGACCACTGCTAGTTCAATCTGCTAATTTTTCAGTCTGGTATCAAAGCTTACCCCAGTCCTTGAGTCCCAGCCTCCTCCTGGCCTGTTTAGTGTGCAGTAGATTCAAATCCAGATTGAATCAATAGCATACTTCCCAGGCAGTGTGCTCTGTCTTGCTGGGTAAGTTCTGATTCAAGTAGATAATAGTAGCTGAATGAAATTGTTTTGTGAAATCATTCTGAATTGCTTTTTTTTTTTTTTAACTGAGTTATGACAAATTTATTATCATGAAGGAAACAAGTATAGCCAGCCATCTTTTTTTTTTTTTTTTTAAGATTTTATTTATTTATTTATTTGTCAGAGAGAGAGAGAGAACAAGAGCAGGCAGAGTGGCAGGCAGAGGCAGAGAGAGAAGCAGGCTCCCTGCTGAGCAAGGAGCCCGATGTGGGACTCGATCCCAGGACCCTGGGATCATGACCTGAGCCGAAGGCAGCAGCTCAACCAACTGAGCCATCCAGGCATCCCCTAGCCAGCCATCTTAAAAAATGCCCCAACCACTGCTTCTCAATATAGAAAGACTAAAACTACATACGTTTATCGTACAACAAATCCCATCTCTGTCCCCTGAAATTCCCCTCGTTTCATTCATTAGAAGGGGATTAAGAAAGAAAAAAAAAAGACTTAAAGAGCACTTTACAGCAGCATTCAGCCTTCCTATGAGATACTCAGCATCTTAAATATTATGTACACTTTTTTTTTTCTTTTAGTAAGCTAGACACTGGCTTCAGAGTTTATGGATCTGGAGAAGTAACAACCCATTCAAAACTACTCTAGAAATTGTCTTTTGGCAGAATAGCAGGTATCCGAGTTAAAAATAGGAGGGTTTTGTTGCTTTGTTTTCTTTGCAAAATTTAAATCGTTTTTGTTCCCCTTCTACCTAAACCTCGGTCACCACTCCTGAGTGGAGATGGGCAGAGGCTCTGGCCCCTGCTCCTCCGGCTTCTCAGCAGCTGTTTTCTTATTGCTGCAGCAAGGCTTGAATAGGTGCGTGTCAATGAGGACTTCCCCAAAACGGCCTTTATAGATAATCCCACAACATATTTTCTGTCTTTTCTAGCATGTGAGATCTAAAAAGGAAAAAACTGGCGTTCTGTTAGAGCCAGAGGCCATCTCTGTATCTGAGCCATCATCTGACTGGTTACTATAGCAAGGAGACTAAGCTGGGGAGGCACTTGAGGTGGTACTGTGAACATCAGAATTGTGACATTTAAATTCCTTCTGTAGTTTACTGATCTGGTTGCTTTTTATCCTGTTTCCAGGTAGAGTTTTCATTTTCTTTGGTTTCAATGTAGTCTTCAGACTGGGTCCTGCCCTTGCATCTACCACATGATTCCAGTTTTTTTTTTTTTTGATCCTGCTGGCAATTTCTTCCATCTTTTCACAAGCAGGACACAGGCATTACAGATGTCTCCTGAACGAGTCTCATGCAACCCAAAACAGCTCTGGAAGTCCTTTTCATAGCGTTTACTGTCAGTGAATCGAGAACTGGAGGACTTCGCTCTGCAAATACAGCAGCCCTCTATACTTCGGTACATCTTTGGCTTGTGAAAATCAAACATTTTTTCTTCTGGGCAATAGTCTTCCAAAGGCGCAATAACGTTCTCGAGGTGCAGAGTGCACGCCAAGCCAACCCTCCCTTCCGATCGCTCCCTCCTCCTTAACTGCCTTGTCTAGAAAGATTGTCTCCTGCAGTTCTCCATTCTGAATAGTTCTTAATGCGGACTGATCTGAGCCATGTCATTCACTAGCTGATTGGTTCTGCAGAACTTCATTTGCTTCCTATATATTTTTTAATTTGAGAGATGGTGTTGGGTGTACATGTAGTTGTCTTTCATTTAGGTGAAAGTGAAATGACATAATCTTTGTAATTTCGGTCTGGCCTCCCTGGGCCTGCTCAGTTTTATCTTTCCTCTGTTTGAGAGTAATAGCTACTGTAAATCAAGCTACTGTAAATCAAGCCCTTAGTTTTTGCAAAGTGCCATGCTCAGTGTGTTATGTACATTACCTTACTCTCACAGCAACGTTGTGATGATTCCCATTTATAGAGAAGGGGACTGAGGCTCAAAGAGGGAAAGTAACTTTCCTAAGATTAGGTAACTAAAAAGTGTTAAGGAACATATTTGATCCAGATTTTTCCTAACTCCAAAGGAAGGGTTCTTAAATACTACACAACACTGGTTACTTTTAGTTTTGAATGAAGCCCTGCATTGCGAAGGAGGTAAGTGAATGGGTGGTAGTTAATTCAGCGGCATTCGGTGGGAGTGGTGCACGTCTTGATGTGGCAGTCTGTTTTTGCAGGTGTTTTTGGCTGGCGTAACGAGTGGGGTAACACTGCTGGCATTTGTCAGGTGGGGACCAGGGATGTTAGACATGCTGCAGTGTGCAGGAAAGTTCCACAGTAGCCCAGTACCTGTTTTACATAAAAGCACAAAATATCGGTTACATGGTTTTCATATACACTGAACTTTCTAGGAGCTCAATAAATCAAAACAAGGTTGTACCTTCCCCCTCTCTTCCTTTCGCTTCTTTACCAAGGGGTGTTCACTAGTTTGGAAAGCTATGTTGACAGTGGCATTGCTGCCTTCTCTTTGAGGTTCTGGTACAACCCACCTATATTACTTTGCCTTTGTAGCTGTTGCATTCGTGTTAATTCCATGTATAGGTACCAGTAAGGACTAGTGTTAAAATATCAAAATGCTTTGAGAACGGCTTGGCTCTGCTACTCTGAGCTTCCTTCCTTCGCGCCGGACTCTTCAGATTCCCTACAGTCAGTAAGAAGAGAGTTAATGACTATGGCATGGGGGCTTCCAGGCCTCTTCTCCAGCTCTACAAGTTGCGGCAGTGCCTGTACTGGGGCCTTGTGTTGTGATTATACCCCTGAGTTCAGACTGTCTCCCTATTTTACATAAGGTCACCCAGTAGCGGTGACATAGTTACATGCAGAAGGTACACACTATTTTATTAAAATTACTTTTTAGTTCTCCTTTACATTATAGTTAGGCCACATATTGTAGGGTATATATTATTAAAAGTTAGATGTCTAGTAGGTTATGTTATTAATGAATTTAATTTCAAAATAGAAAACAGATGTTTCAGGCCATTCAGGAAAGAAGAGGGAGGAGCGCCCGGGTGGCTCAGTTGGTTAAAGGGTTCGACTCTTGATATCGGCTCAGGTTATGATCTTGGTCATGAAGTTGAGCCCCATGTCGGACTCCATGCTTAGTGTGGGGTCTGCCCAAGACTCTCTCTCCCTGTTCTTCTTCCTTTTTTTTTTTTTTTTAAAGAGTTTATTTATTTATTTATTTGTCAGAGAGAGCGAGAGCGCACGCACAAGCAGGCAGAGTGGCAAGGCAGAGGCAGAGAGAGAAACAGGCTCCCTGCGGGGCCTGATGCAGGACTCGATCCCTGGACCCCGGGATCATGACCTGAGTTGAAGGCAGCAGCTTAACTGACTGAGCCACCCAGGCGTCCCTCTCTGCCTCTTCTGTTCCCCACTGCTCTTTCTGTCTCTCAAATAAATAAATAAACCGGAAAACAAAAAGAAAAAGGGGGCTGTTGAGTTTGAGAGTTGAGAACTACTGAGTAAATCCATGAGGCTACTGCAGGATTTTGTCCTTTATCCTTGTTTTAAATTGAAATCTTTTGGCTGTTATGAATTATAGGTACAGCTGTCCTTGTCTCAGTGGCTGAAATGAAAACATCAGTAATATATGTACTTGTAGAGGGCATCATATCAGAATAGCATGTACTCTAGATCATGATTCAGGTGGCTCTTGTTTCACCAAAAATTTTTTGCCTTGGCAGAGGGATCTTCTCTTGTACCTCATTTTTCATTCTTTCAATAGACTTTGTGCAGTGTCAGCATTGGGATGTGATTGAATTATCTGGCAATACATTCTAGAATATACTAATAATGGTCTCTTCCGTCAGTAGACTTATTTTTTTCCTGTTGAATTGGTTTTTTGGTGTTAATACCATTCATGGCTGCCCTAGAGGTGCCCCTGGTGATGCATCTTCTGTGGATCAGTATCATGATAACATTTTGATCTCATCAGCCCACTTATAAGTAAAGATTCATTATAGTGAAGAATCAGATTTTGTACATGAATTTTTGTTTACTACATGTATTTCTATCTTTGTATGGAAGTTCCCTGTGCCTGTACTAAATTTATTACTTTCTTTCCAGAAATGTCTAATGCAAAAGAAAGAAAACATGCTAAGAAAATGAGGAACCAGCCCACTAACGTGACTTTATCTTCTGGCTTTGTGGCCGATAGGGGCACAAAGTACCATAATGGAGGTGGAAGACCTTTCCAAGCTCAAAAACAAGGTAAGATACACAGTACTTTCTCCACTCTGTTTGGATCAAAATTCTTTCTTTTTTAAGATTTTTATTTTATTTATTTGAGAGAGAGCGTGCACGTGAGCCTGAGTACATGCATGAGCAGGGGGAGGGGCAAAGGGAGAGGGAGAAGCAGAGTCCCCACTGAGCAGGGAGCCTGACCTGGGGCTTGATCCCAGGGCTCTGAGATCATGACCTGAGCCGAAGGCAGACGCTTAACCAACTGAGCCACCCAGGCACCCTTTGTCAGTTCTTTTTGATACTTATTATTTAAATAGTAAATAACCTGCATTAAAAACAGATACAGTTGACCCTCATTATTCACACATTTTGTATTTGCAAATAAGTTGATTTGTAACCCCCAAATTAATACTTACGGTACTTTGGTGGTCATTTGTGGACTTGTGAAGAAAGGGGAGAAATTTGAGTCACTCCACATGGACGTTCTTAGCTGAGATTCCCGACTGTGTTCTTGCTTCTGCTTTCTTTTTTTTTTTTTTGCTTCTGCTTTCTGACGGAGACAACCAGATGGGGGGACACTAGTGGGGTTTCGCAGCAGAGCCCAGGGAGCTCTGTCTCCCACTGGGGATTGAGTTCCAGCAGATCACTTAGCACTTCTGAATCTCTTTTTTCCTTTGTAAATAAAGGAAACAGAATGTACCAGGATGAGTTGTTTTTATGGTGTGAGATTGCAATCAGTGTGATATGTGTTTGTATGTATTTCCTCTAGGAACAGTGGTTCAGTATTTGCTAATTCAGTGTTCTTTGTGACCTTATAGTACATAATTGCTGGGAATAAGAATTGGCTGTATTAGAGTGGGTATGTTATAACTCTATCTTAACACAATTACTATTAAATCACACTATTTTCGGGGCACCTGGGTGGCTCAGTCTAAGCATCTGTCTTCGGCTCAGGTCATAATCCCAGGGTCTGGGATGGAGCCCAGCATAGGGCTCCCTGTTCAGTGGGGAGCTTGCTTCTTCCTCTCCCTCTGCTGCTCCCCCTGCTTATGCTTGTACTTTCTCTCTCTCTCTCTCTCTCTCTGACAAATAAATAATTAATAAATAAATAATAATTAAATAAAATCTTTAAAAAAATTCACACTATTTTATTTCCTAAAAGAGGCACAGTGTGTTTATTTTAAGTGCGTTTAACTTATGTGCTGATTTTAGAACCTTATGATATGAAGGTAACAGTTGTTCTTTGGGTAGCAATAGAAAATGCCAGTTTGGGAAGACAGCAAGCGGGTGACTAAGAACTTTATGGGGACACTTCAAAGAAGAGTATGGATTGGATCTGATTAACTGAGTTTTAGACACATATTCAAAAATTGAGATTCGGATCCAATAGTTGGTGCTTACCATGCCATGTCAGAAGCCTTAACACATACTATCTCATTTAAACCTCCCAGCAACAAACTTTGTAACATGTTTCATGGAGTACAGGGGCGTAATAATTAAAACTATAATGGAAGTAAACTGGAACACCATAAAATTCTCTGCTGAGCTCTCCCTCCATTTACAGACAGGGATTCAAAGTTATCTCAAAGTCAGTGGTTTCATCGCCCAGACATTTGTATAGAGACTTTGCTTTTATTTCTTTCTTTAATTTAGCATGGGCTCCCAACTTGAGTGTGCCAGAGAATTATGATAAAAGACTAAATATACAAAATCATGTAAATTGTAGCATTTAAGAGAGCTGAGATTTAAAAATCTATTTTGTACTGTTTGGAGAAAAGGTCCCTTGTATCAGTTATATGCAAGGTTAATTTGTCATGCCGACAACATTAGCCAGTGTGAGGCCCGCTAGCAGTGTCACCTTGGGCAAGGTAATTCATTCACCTCACTCTCCGAGATTCCCTCCTCTTTAAAGGGAAGATAGTAATAACCTCCTTACAGGGTGGTTGTAGGATTAAAAACATTAGTGTTGCCACCCAGTGAATGTTCTCCACTGTAATGCAGATCCCTGGTAAGGCTGACCTATTTCTTTCTGTTTTCTTTTTGAAAATAAACCAGAGCCTTTCCCTGGAACTTCACGACAGCGGCAAACCAAAATGACCCACCACTCCCCCGTGGATCCTGATGTGAAGGAGCAGTCTTCCTCCAAAATCATGTTTAAAAAGAAAGGAGGTTGGAAAGCAGGTCCGGAGGGCATGTCTCAGGAAATTCCCAAGTATATAACTGGTAGGTGTTTGTGAAGAAGTGAAGTTTGATTATACGATGAGCTCTCGGTTTCTGATAAAGCCAGACTTCAGTGTCTGTCTTCGCCCTGCCTCCCCATCTCCCTCCTCTCCTCCTCCCTTCTCGCCTCCTGCCTAGACTTTGGCTGTAGCTTCCCTCAACCTGATTGTTCTCTCTTCAGTCTCTCTTTTCCCTCTTACTTGTCTTCTTTTAAGTCCATATCTGTGAAATCTTGCTTTTCATCCTAAAATCTTCTTTGCCCTTCCCCTACCCGTTTTTAAAATATAAAATGCCATCTCTGTGTCTCAGCACCCATTCTCCAAAGATGAAACCAAATTTAACACATTCCTAGGATAAGACCTCCAGGCCCTTTAGACCTTGTCTCCTGTCGCCTCTGCTATCCCCCAACCCTGTATTCTTTAGGTGTGTCTTCTAACCTCTGTGCCTCCTGTTTACATCCAAAAAATTTCTGTTTTTCTAGAAGGAAAAGTAGTAATAGTTATGGGTACATATTTGGAAAAAGCAGAAAATATATATATAAAAAAAAAAGCCCTTGAAGTCACAACCATTGTTAAAATCTTGCTTTTTCTTTGTTTTCTTATGGGATTGTTGCCCTTAAAAATGGTTGAGATTATATTGCCCGTAGGCCTCTGTTTTAAGAAATTCTTTGTAAACTTGCTTTAAACTTTTTATCTGATTAGAAAAGTAACACTGAATCCTGGTAGAAAAGAGAAGTTGAAACAGAATAGTTTCATAATCTTTAATACACAAATAACCACCCTTGGTATTAATCTAATTGGGGGTTCAGGTGGTGGGTGAGTTGTAAGCCCACAGACTTCAGCTCTCTCTTCCTTCGGAGATCTACCAGAAGTACGGATTTGAGACTTAATCTTTAATGATGGTGCTGGTTTTGTCAACAGCTTCTACTTTTGCTCAAGCTCGAGCTGCGGAAATCAGTGCTATGTTGAAAGCAGTGACCCAGAAGTCTTCCAATTCGCTGGTTTTCCAGACCCTGCCCCGCCACATGAGACGGAGAGCCATGAGCCACAACGTCAAGCGCCTTCCCAGGCGGTTGCGGGAGATTGCCCAGAAAGAGGTATGAGTTTCACTTAGTGTAAATGTTTCAGTTAGTAGTTCCTAAAAGAAATTGAGAACTCTTAACCTAATAGAATTAAAATGAAAAAAGCAAAATGGTCATTTTGCATATTTTGGTTTAATCATGGTTCCTCCCACCGCCCCCTTGCTCTCTAATTAGCGGACATTTGGATATTACACATAGTATTTGGAAGGCCCTTTCTTTTCTTTTTTTTTTTAGTTTCAGGTTGGAAGCCCTTTCTTTTAATAGCGTTAAATAGTTGATGGTCCCCTGCCAGATTTAAAATAAAATCCTAACCTTACCATATAAGTGATTTTAATTCTGTATTTTGGAGGTGTGGCCAGCTCAAAGTTGGAAGGTTAAGGGAAAAAAGCATCAATGCCTGGTATTTGCCTTTTGACTTTTTCAACATCGAAAACTTGACTAGGGTTTAATTGTCATTCAAGTCTAGTTGTTTTCGGCTTCACCAAAATCCTTGGCTTGGGCATTGTCAGATGGTCTAGGCTACCCATGTCTTTGCTAGTTGATTTGAAAGTTCTCCATGGAGCACCTTCTCTAAACTGGTACTATTCTGGTGGGGGGGTTAGAGTTCATCAACATAAACCCTTTATCCTTAGGGGCCCGTAGACTCCCATCCAAGTACTAACCAGGCCCGACCCTGCTTAGCTTCCGAGATCAGACGAGAGGGGCCCGTAGACTAAAGGGGAAGAGTTTTTGGGCTTGTTTCCCCCCCTCCCAAAAGTTTTGCTCAGCTATGAAGGAGATTAAGAGTGAAAACTGAACAGGGATTTTGTGCTTTCTAGACATAACGTAAGGTTTGTTTCCGAGTCATCAGGTTTGGCATTTGTCTCTCGGGACCTAGCCAATGTGAAATATATAGGTTTTCCTCGCTTGATATTTTTCATCCTATGTTTTGGGTTTCGTTCTAATCTCAGAGGTTAAAAAACCAATAACAAAAAAGCTAGCATCTGAGTGTTGTCTTGCTCTCTAATATGAATAGCCACAGTAAGCTTGTGTTATTGTGTGGAGCATTTTATAAATATTCTAATCCTCATAGTCCACGAAGCTTGCCCAGTTAGTGAAAGGACTGGGCTTCCTCTCTAAGTTTGCCCATCTCTGAGGTCTTCATTCTGTTGCCTCCCCTTCTCTTCTTTCTTTGGAGAGATAACCAAGTTAAAAAAATAAGCATACTGGGGCACCTGGGTGGCTCAGTGGGTTAAGTATCTGCCTTTGGTTTAAGTCATGATCTCCAGGTCCTGGAATCGAGCCCCGTGTCGGGTGCCCTGCTCAGTGGGGAGTCTGTTTCCCCCTCTTCCTCTGCTCCTACCCCTGCTTGTGCTCTCTCTGTCTCTCTCAAATAAAATCTTTAAAAAAAATTTAAGCGTACTAATGGAGTCTACCTAATCCAAAGCTAGTCGTTTGAATTCCTCACACATAGCTTTGTTTTGAGACCGTTACAAAGTAGGATCTGCCTCTGTCCTTGAAACCGCAGGCCGAGAAAGCAGTACATCAGAAAAAAGAACATTCAAAGAATAAATGCCATAAAGCTCGAAGATGCCACAAAAACCGGGTGCTAGAATTCAACCGTAGACAAAAGAAGAACATATGGTTGGAGACTCACATCTGGCACGCCAAGCGGTTTCACATGGTCAAGAAGTGGGGCTACTGTCTGGGAGAGAGGCCGACAGTGAAGAGCCACAGAGCCTGCTACCGAGCCATGACAAACCGGTGCCTCCTTCAGGTGTGTGCTTCTGGCTGCGTTTCTTTTTTGGTTTGTTTCGACAAAATGGAAGTGATGTCTGGGCTCAGTCCTAAGGGGTAAGACAGTGGGAGAGTCAGGGAGGCAGAGGAAGTCAGGTAAGACGGAATAACGGAAATAAATTCGGTGTGATTAACACGAAGAGAGTGGGATTGAAGATAATGTGAAGAGGAGGTTAGTTTGGGAGAAATAAGGAGGAACCACGTCCTGCAGGGTCTTGGTGGTCACGTTTGAGATTTCTTCAGTACTGATTCATTTAGAAGTCATTGCTCCACACCAAATATTTGTGTGCCCTTAGAGCTATGTTCAAAATGCTGTTCTGAATGCTTATGATTCAGTGGGATGCTGGGAAGTTTGTTTCAAATTCTTTGAGAGGACAGTTTGTTGTAGAGCTGGTGGTAGTATTAATCTTGTCCCTCTCCCCTCCCCCAGTTGCTAAATCAAATTGCTTTCTCTCTCCCAATAAATATTTAGAAATCTCCTTTAGGCAGAGGATCTTTCAATGGTAGGATGACCTTGGCGAGATTTTTTTTTTTTAACTTTTTTATCTGAGTGTAGTTGACACATAGTCTTAATGAGTCACAGGTGTACAACAGTGATTCTGCTTCTCTCTGTTATGCCACGCTCACTGCAGCATAGCTGCCATCTGTCACCACACAACGCTATTACAGTATCATTGACTGTATTTTCTGCTGTGCCTTTTATCCCCGTGACCTGTTCATTCCATAATTGGAAGCCTTGACCAAGTTTTAAAAGCCATTGTACTATGATTCTTTGATACCAAGATCTTGAGAGCAATATAGCAGACTAATCAATATAAGAACCTTTAAAAAATTGTGGTTAAATGTACATAACATCAAATTTGTACACTTTAATTACCTTCTTTTTTAAGGTTTTTGGTTTTTTAAATTTGACAGAGAGAGGCAGAGCAAGAGAGGGAAAACAAGCAGGGGGAGTGGAGACGGAGAAGCAGGCTTCCTGCCGAGCCAGGAGCCTGATGTGGAGCTTGATCCCAGGAACCTGGGATCATGACCTGAACCGAAGGCAGATGCCTAACCAACTGAGCCACCCAGGCGCCCCAAGATTTTGTTTTTAAATAATCTTTACACCCAACATGGGGCTTGAACTTACAACCCTGAGATCAAGAGTTGCATGCCCTAACAGAGTGAGCTAGCCAGGCACACCCTTTAATTATTTTTAAGTGCGCAGTTCTGTGGCATTAACTGTAGTCACGTTGTTGTGTAACTATGGTCACCATCCATCCCCAGATCTTTTTCATCTTCTCAAAATGAAACTACCCCTGTTAAACAATAACTCCCATTGCCCACCCTCTTGCTCCTGGCAACCACCATTCTAATTTCTGTCGCTAGGAATTTGATCATTCTAGATGCCTCATATAAGTAGAATCACACAATATTTATCCTTTTGAGACTGGCTTATTTCACTTAACATAATGTCTCCAAGGTTCACCCTTGTTGTCTCATGTGTTGGAATTTCCTCATGTTTGAGGCTGAATAGTACTGCGTTGTATGTGATACTCCATCTTGTTTATCTGTTTATCCAACAATGGGCATTTGAGCCAGCTAGGAGCACCCACAGATATTCTTTCTGACAAGGACACCGTAACTTAACATTTTAAATGAAAATTCATTTTGACTTTGCTTAAGATTGGTTTAAGAATATTTGGGGCCCCTGGGTGGCTCAGTGGGTTAAAGCCTCTGCCTTCGGCTCTGGTCATGATCCCAGGGTCCTGGGATCGAGCCCCGCATCGGGCTCTCTGCTCAGCAGGGAGCCTGCTTCCTCCTCTCTCTCTGCCTGTGTCTCTGCCTACTTGTGGTCTCTGTCTGTCAAATAAATAAAAATCTTTAAAAAAAAAAAAAGAATATTTGCTAATGTCCTAGGAATAGACAGATTTCAGATTTTGACTTACGAAATGATAGCTTTAGCAATTTGGTCTGTGTCATGGACCTGTAGAAGTTTTTCTGATGTGGCCTTTGGCTTCTCACAGTTTTCCCCATGTCCTTTCCTGAGTATTTAATTATGTCTCTCCCTCTGTGCAGGATTTATCCTACTACTGTTGTTTGGAGTTGAAGGGCAAAGAGGAAGAAATCCTGAAGGCTCTTTCTCCGATGTGTAGCACAGATGCAGGTAAACCTGTTTCAAAGCTGAGCACTATTTTAGTCTTTGAGTATTTACTCATACCTCTAGCAAGGAAGCTTTAAACATATATCAAAACGCGAGAGAGAGTTCTTGTTCCCAAGGAGCGTGTTAATGTTAGAGAAGTGGGGCTTGTTTCAGATCATTTCTAACGTTGTCAGGTGTTAAGTGAGAGAGCCGTTGTTCGGGTGGAGTGACTTCAGTCAGGCAGAAACTCAAACCTCTTCAAATCATTCATTGACTGTTTATTGAGAACTTACCATGTGCCAGGCTTTGATCTATGCAGTGATCAAAAGCAGCGCCTCACCCCTCAGGGAGATAGACAACAAGAAACAGTGTGGCGATCGGGCGATAGCACCGCCATCTCAGCACCGGAGATCATGACGTGTTGTCTTTGTTTACATCAGGACTGACTTTCGCAGCAGTTCACTGCCTGTCTGGGAAGCGCCAAGGTAGTGTCCTGCTCTATCGGGCAAACAGATACCCTCAAGAGATGCTGGGGCCTGTCACGTTTATTTGGAAGTCTGAGAGAACCCCCAGTCACACTTCTGAGAGCAGGCAGTTGTGGATCTGGCTTCATCCAACGCTTAAACAGGTATAATCCTTGAGATGATTTCCTCGCAACTCTGTTACTGCATTCTTTTTTTTTTTTAAGATTTTATTTATTTCACAGAGCGAGAGAGGGAATGCCAGCAGGGAGAGTGGGAGAGGGAGAAGCAGGCGGAATTCCCGCTGAGCAGGGAGCCCGATGTAGGGCTTGATTCCAGGACCCTGGGATCATGATCTGAGTCTAAGGCGGATGCTTAATGACTGAGCCGCCCAGGTGCCCCTGTTACTGCATTCTTAATTACCATTGAAATCAGTGCTTTGGAAGTTTAAGTAGTATAAAAGTTGGGCTGATAGCTTGGTATTTGAATAGAGGGAAGAAAATGTTATGTGAATATGAAACGAAGCAAATCTTGACCTTTTACATTTTGGTAAACCATAAGCAAAAGTAGAGATAAAGACCCACTATATAAATAGTGGCTTGGGGGCGCCTGGGTGGCTCAGTGGGTTAAGCCGCTGCCTTCGGCTCGGGTCCTAGTCTCGGAGTCCTGGGATCGAGTCCCGCATCTGGCTCTCTGCTCGGCGGGGAGCCTGCTTCCTCCTGTCCCTCTGCCTGCCTCTCTGCCTGCTTGTGGTCTCTGTCTGTCGAATAAATAAATAAAATCTAAAAAAAAAAAAAAAAATAGTGGCTTGAAGTGCTGCATTTGGTCTAATGCTCCCATGATGCCTGAATTCACTGGTATCTATGTGCTTGTCAGAGCCTCTTTGATGATGAGAAGCTGTTTTAAGTAAGTCTGATGATTTTTAATCTCTGTTACTCATTTTTTTTTCTTTGGTCTATTCACTAGTTTCATATGGTAAGCCGTAAATTTTTTCAAAAAAATATTAACTGTTCAGAGTAGTCATGTTGTTTTCATTAGTCTTTCATTAATCGTCACAAACTTAGGAGTTTGGTTTTTTTAAAAAAGATTTTATTTATTTAAGATTTTTCCTTTTCTTTTTTTTTTTTTTTGTCAGAGAGAGAGAGCACAAGCAGAGGGAGAGGCAGGCAAAGGGAGAAGCAGGTTCCCTGTTGAACAAGGAGCCCATGTGGGACTTGATCCCAAGACTCTGGGATTGTGACCGATTGAGCCACCCAGGTGTCCCAAGATGTTATTATTTGACAGAGAAGTGCACAAGCAGGCAGGACTCAGTCTCAGAACCCTGGGATTATTACCCAAGCCTAAGGCAGAGGCTTAACCAACTGAGCCACCCAGGCGCCCCTGACACTTAGGAGCTTTTTTGTTTCAAATGCCATGCACTGCTTAGAAGCAACAAAAAAGCTTTTTATCTTTTTTCTTTTTTTTTAAGATTTTATTTTTTTGATAGAGCGAGACACAGCAAGAGAGGGAACACAAGCAGGGGGCATGGGAGAGGGAGAAGTAGGCTTCCCACTGAGCAGGGAGCCCAATGCAGGGCTCGATCACAGGACCTTGGGGTCAGGACCTGAGCCGTAGGTAGACACTTAACGACTGAGCCACTCAGGCGCCCCAAAAGCTTTTTGATGATGGTGAATTTCATTTAATTTGTAAAGGGATAAAGATGTAAATTTTTTATTTATTTATTTATTTATTTATTTTTTTAAAGATTTTATTTATTTATTTGACAGACAGAGATCACAAGTAGGCAGAGAGGCAGGCAGAGAGAGAGAGGAGGAAGCAGGTTCTCCGCTGAGCAGAGAGCCCAATGTGGGGCTCGATCCCAGGACTCTGGGATCATGACCTGAGCCGAAGGCAGAGGCTTTAACCCACTGAGCCACCCAGGCGCCCCAGATGTAAATTTTTTAAAGGGAGTAAAAAAATAATATGAACTAAACCCCCTGAAGTGTCTCAATATTTCCTTAGGATATCTTAGAGGAACTCAAAGCAGTGTGCCAGTGTGTGGAACCCATCAAACCCACCGTCTGCACCCCCAGCCCTCTGCCGACAACATCCGAAGAAAAAAGCCAAACCGAACTGCCTGATGAGAAAATGGGCAAGAAAAGAAAACGGAAAGATGATGGAGAAAATGCTAAACCCGTTAAAAAAATCATCGGTGACGGAACTAGAGACCCACACCAGCCGTCTTCTTGGATCTCTGTAGCCACAGGCATTATAATCAGGTACAGGCTGGATTTGCTCTGAACCCACTGAATAGTTTTAGTGAAGACTTGCTCTGTTTTCACCAGTGGCTCAGACACTGTGTACGGTGGACGTTTCCATCTCGAGACCTTCTCTCTCTTTCAGTGATTTGACGATGGAGATGAACAGGCTCCGGTTGATCGGTCCGCTTTCCCACTCCATCCTGACCGAGGCGCTGAAGGCTGCTTCTGTCCAGACCATGAGAGTAAATGCGACTGTGGTGCTTTATTCCACTCATGTCCTTCTTAGCAAATTTGTGAGACCTAACATACTTCGGTACCATTTGGGGCCATGGCCTGTAAATGTTTCTTTCTCTGTCTCTGCTTCTTATCAAAGACTTGGTCACCTTCCACTTCTAGAAGAACAGATATCAGTGAATCTAAACATATTTGTTCTTATTAAATGCAGACTGTAAATGTAGGTGGTGAGTTTTGTGGGTAACAGAGCCCTTAAAGTTACTGAAATTCTGTGCCTTTTTTTGTTTGTTTGTACTTGTGTGGTGCATATTTTCTGGGGCTAGTTTTTTTTTTTTTTTAATTTAATTTAAATTCAGTTAACACACAGTGTGTTGTTAGTTTCAGAGGCAGAGTTCAGTGATTCATCAGTCTTACAGAACACCCAGTGCTCATTATATCACGTGCCCTCCTTAATGTCCATCACCCAGGGACCCCATCCCCCCACCTCCCCTCCAGCAACCCTCAGTTTGTTTCCTATGATCAAGAGTCTCACAAATGGCAAGATTTCAGGTTTTTTGATGGCTGCATAGTAGTCCTTTGTGTGTGTGTGTTTTAAGATTTTATTTATTTATTTGATAGAGATCACAAGTAGGCAGAGAGGCAGACAAAGACGGGGGCAGGCTCCCTGCTGAGCAGAGAGCCTGAGGCAGGGCTTGATCCCAGGACCCTGGGATCATGACCTGAGCCGAAGGCAGAGGCTTTAACCCACTGAGCCACCCAGGCGCCCCTCCATTGTATATTTATATCACATCTTCTTTACCTGTTCATCTGTCGGTGAACATCTGGGCTCTTTCCACAGTTAGGCTATTGCGGACATTGCTGCTATAAACATTTGGCTTCACATGCCCCTTCGGATCACTACATTTGTATCTTTAGGGTAAATACCCAGTAGTGCGATTGCTGGGTCATAGGGTAGCTCTATTTTTAACGTTTTGGGGAACCTCCATGCTGTTTTCCAGAGTGGCTGCACCAGCTTGCATTCCCTCCAGCAATGTAATAAGGCTCTCTGGGGCTAATTTTAAAGGTCCGTGGTCCTGAAAAGGTTAAGAGCAATATGTCTAGTGCAGCACTGTCCAGCTTTCGGCAAGGGTGCGCCAAGTGTGGTAACTGTTAGCCCATGTAGCTCTTGAGCACTTGAGATGTGGCTGGTGTGACTGAGGAGCTGAATTTGTACCTTCATTGAATTTTAATTAACTAGAAATTAAATAAAAATAGACCTCTGTGGCCGGTGGCTACTAAGTTGCCCCTGCAGGTCTAGAGAAGAGCAACAAGGTTAGGAATCAGACGCTCCAGGTTCAGATTCGGTTTGTTTCCCTGTGTTAGCACAGCTGACCCTTCCGTGCCGGGGCCTCCCACAGAATTCATGTGGTCAGATAAGATGTAGGTGGGAACAGATTTTGAGCTGTTAGAAGAAAAATACTTTAAAAATCAAAAGCTACTTCTGTCCTCTCTCTCTCTGCTTCTACACCATCCTCAACCAGTGTGTCTCACCGAAGCAGCTTCCTCACTTCCTCTGCTCTTCTTTCCTTTCACCACAGCCTCCACGCAGGGAACAGAATGGTCTCTTAACAGTTGATTCATATATTGTCATTTCCCGATCTAAAGCTATTGAGTAGTTTCTTACCGTATTTGTGGTCATTCACGTGACTGCGTACTCTCGTGGCTTCCTGCCTCTGGCTCTGTCTTTCCACACTGCAGCTCAGCCGTGCTGTCCTTCTCTCAGGTCCTGGAATATGTCAGGTCTCTGCTCCCTTAAAGCCTTCACACCTGCTTTCTTCCCACCTGGCCAAATGTTCTGTCCTCGCCCCCTGCTTGGTAAACCTTCCTTAGTCTTCAGATTTCAGCCTTTATCTCATTTCCCTCTGGAATCCCTTCCTGACCCCCAAGTTAAATGAAATCAATTATATTGTATTTCATTGCATTTTGTATATTTCTCAGTTTAATATGTTTAGATTTGCTTGTTGTACTTAGGCAATGTTCATATTGAATTTGGTGAGGGCAAGGACTCTGTCCCCAGTGTTTAGCACAGTGCTTGGCACAGAGGAGGGCCTCCACTCCAGCTCATAAGTCGCTCAGGGAGGATTTGAACCTGAGAAGTTTGGTTCCAGAGCCGGTGCTTTAAACCAATAAGCTATGCTACTTGAGTGACATAAATAGCTCGTATGTTAACAGGTTGCTTCTGTAGAATCTGTAGGAGCACGTCCTACTTCAGTGAACTTCCGTATGAATCATGGCTGTAAGTCTCTTTCTCTGTGTGCACCTGGTACGGAGGTGCTTTTTGGTTTTCTTTTTTTTGTTTTTGTTTTTTATTTTTTAAAATTATTTATTTATTTATTTAGAGTTTATTTATTTATTTGAGAGACAGAGATAGCAACAGCATGAACCGTGGTGGGGAGGGAGAAGCAGGCTCCCCGCTGGGCATGGAGCCCGACACGGGGCTCGATCCCAGGACCCTGAGATCACAACCCGAACCGAAGGTAGATGCTTAACTGACTGAGCCACCCAGGCACCCCAAGTTCTTATATTTTTATTCATTTAAGTAATCTCTGTACTAGCATGGGGCTCAAACTCATGACCCTGATATTAAGAGTTTCATTCTTTTCTTACTGAGCCAGCCAAGTACCCCTGAGATGATTTTTGAAACCTTGCTCAATTCCTCATTCTATCTGGGAAAAATACAAGTAAAAGACTTGTGTATCTTATTTGAAGTTTCTAGGAATAAAGCAATTGTAAGATATCCTTTTGCCAAAGATTTCTTCAGACAGTGTAGGTTTGGTGTTTCTTTTTGTGGGGAAAGTCTTATTGCTTAAATTGGTATGAAGTTAGCAGTAGTGGGAGAGGAGCAAGGAGCAGTCCTCTTTCATCAGTAGTGTGTTGAGAGAAGAACGCAGGTGTCTCTCTGAAAACCATAGGTGTGGTTTTTAGTGTGTGAAATCTTGAGAGAAGTGTAATGCTATGTCCATGCCTCTGATTAGAAGAGCACTTAGGTTGGTGTGAATTAATGTGTTAAATAGGGGAGCAGTTGCCCATGAATCTCAGCCCTAACTAAATGATCAACTCTGATTCATCATTTCTCTGGTGAATAGGAGTTGTTATTTTTCAGGAGGGAGAAGACACAGAGAAGACACCTCACCACTGGTGGACTGAAACCTGTAAGAATCCTGATAGCGTTTCCCTTCATCACAGACAAGAAGCCATTTTTGAGTTGTTGGGAGGTATTCAGAGGGAATACTGACCGGGTGGTTTGGGGACGAAGGGAGGAGTGGGAAGTGCATTAAAAGAGTGTTTTATAGTTGGGCTAAGTACACGGAGCAGTGCTTTTTAACTTGGAACTCCTTGTCATAATACAGCAAGAGAACATGGAAGAGTGGTGCCTGACTCAGTGAACTTAGGAAACTCTGAGTTTATGTTAGTATTCCAAATAACTGGCATTCTGATATGATAGGTAAACACATAGCCCAGGTACTAAAACTAAGGTCTCTACTTATCCGTACACAATTACGTTTGTGTGTGAAGCTACTGTAGTTATCACTGATGGAAATATACATGTTCGTGTTGTAAAATAATCTGTTATGTTAACTTAATGTTTTTGGTGAGAAATATTACTCTCCACGAATGTTAATTTACTCTCTGAAAGTATTAATGGGACAAAAGAGGAATGTAGGTTTTTTAATAATTAGCCCAAGAAGAAATTTTTATTAAAAAATTTGAATATTCAAGCAAGTGTATATATTGTGAATGACTTTGTAAAAGGATGGGTTTTATTTGTTTTTTGTTAAAGGAATAACATCACCAGCAGAAATTCCAGCCGGTACTATTTTGGGACTGACTGTTGGGGATCCTCGAATAAATTTGCCTCCAAAGAGGTCCAAAGTTTTGCCCAATCCAGAAAAATGCCAAGGTAAAGTTTCTAGAACACTCCTGGTTTTCCTTACAATTTTGAGTAGTTTAGTTCCATGAGAAGAGTTCTGACAGCTCTGCATTGACTTCATCTGTAAAAAGTTAGGGTGATCTTTACCTGCCTCCTTTTCAAGGTGATTATAACCAAAGGAGATGGTGTGTATGGAAGTGTCTTTTAGCTAGGAGACGTGTAGCCTTGTCCTTATGTCCATTTTTTTTCCCCCCTGAGTTCTTTATTTTTAGTATCTGGTAAAAACCTGTCGTTCTGCAAACCGGGTTCTCTGAAAATGCCTGGCATTTCAGAATTTTAATTGTGAGGAAGGGATCTGCACCCGCAGCTGGTCTTGTGCTCATTGGAAGCCTCTGTCTGACCATACAGATGATCCAGGTTCGAATCCTGGCAAGGCCATCCCAGGTGCTGAAGGGTAAGAAGTCTTGGTTTAGACTCAGTAGAGTGGCCTGTGGGAGGTTGTTGGGTGGGGTGGCATCAGATGGTGGTTAGGAACCTGCTAAAATTTTAGTCTGATCTGGGATTCTCAACAATGGTGATAATATCGTGTTGTATTTACTGTCATTTAAACACTGAATTGGAAGAATCATTAAAATTACCTTCTGAATTTTGAGAGGAAAAATACAGGTATGTGTAGTAATAACTTCAGTTTTTTTTTTAACCTCTACATGTAGTTAATAGCTTATTAAAGGAGCAACAAATTAGTCCGTCAGATCCTTACATGAAAGGAGGATTGGATGAGAGAGGAGTTTGAAGCTCTGTAGACAGGTTAGTTAATCATGGAGCCTCAGACATTACTCAATGAGTTGTTGCCTCTTTTCTTTTTTAATGGCATTATTGTCTGATGCAACCCTCAAAGTTGCAGTGTTGACTGAGCATTAAACACTGACTGTCTTAATTGCTTTAAAGCTGTAGTTTCAACTCCACTTACTTTCCCTTGCTGCCTCAGATCCTTTTTTGGAATGAGGTAGTGACGTGTTAAATTCTTTTTAAGGCTTTTATCTTAATAGGAATCAGTTCAGGAAAATTAAAGTCTACCTTAAGACACATGATTTAATTTCTTTAAGAACCTACCAACTTGGTAGTCCTTGTTATATTTTATTAAAACCTGTTTTAGGTAATTTCATTGAAGTATTGGTATGTGAGCTACATAAAGAATTAACTTTTTGAGGAATTAGGATTATAACAATATCACTAATAGATGTAACATATCATCTAGGATGATAACTTAAAACTAAAGTTAGAAATAGACTTTGATGAGCCGGGTCAATTAATAAAAGATTAATCCTTGGAAGAGTCTTGGTGTCTTGATGATTGAAAACTTAATTCTCTGATGTACTTCCAGTTTCTCTCTCTCTTTTTTTTTTTTTTAAAGATTTTATTTATTTATTTGACAGAGAGAGATCACAAGTAGACAGAGAGGCAGGCAGAGAGAGAGAGAGGGAAGCAGGCTCCCTGCTGAGCAGAGAGCCCGATGTGGGACTCGATCCCAGGACCCTGAGATCATGACCTGAGCCGAAGGCAGCGGCTTAACCACTGAGCCACCCAGGAGCCCCCAGTTTCTCTTTCTACATCTGAAGTCGTTCTCTGCCTATTTTAACTTGGACAAAACAGACCAATTTTGGTGCTACTTAAACCATAAAGAAGGGTTTGCCCTTCTTATTTGCAGGACAAACTGTCTTCTTGTGTGTACTGGGGATTCGCGGATTCTGAAAAGAGGGGGTATATAACTGTAATATTGCGATATAATAAGAAATATGTATTTTGGTCTTTGTGCAGCTGCCCCTTTCCTGGTATATAGCTCCTAAAGTCCTTGTAATTCCCTAAGTGATAACAGCCTTAAAGCCTTAAAGGCTAAAGGAGTGTCTTTTCTTATTCATTAAAGCCCCTTTCAGTCACAACTTTTAGGTTAATGAGGTGAAAAACTCTCTAGGATGGTGGGCTGGTTACCGGGGGAACCAACCTCAAGGTTAGAGCGTCAGAGCTTTCTCAGACACTTCTACCCCTGCCCCATCCAGACCTGCTTCTGGGAGGGGGAGGTGGGTTAGAGATTGAGTTTGATTGTCAACAGGCAATGATTTAATCAGTCATGCCTACTTGATTATGCCTGTGTAAAAGTCTTATACAGTTGGGGTTTGGAGAACTTCCCGTTTGCTGAACACTTGAAGATGTTGGGAGGGTAGTGAGTTTGAAGAGGGCCAGGGCCTCCTTGTTCCCTCATACCTTACCCTGTGCTTCTCTTCCATCTGGCTGTTTCTGAGTTAAATCTTTTCATTAAAAAACAAAGCAAAACAAAATAGTAATGGAGTCAGTAAACTGTTTTCTTGAGTTCTGGGAGCCGTTCTAGCAAATTACTGAATTTGAGGAGGGGGTCGTATAGGTGGGACCAATTTCTAGCCAGCTGGTCAGAGGTACTGGAGACCAGGGACTTCCAACTGGCATCTGAAGAAGGGGTAGTCTTGTGGGACTGAGTCGTTAACCTGTGGGATCTGACACCGTCTCCAAGTAGGTGGTGTCGGAACTGGTGTGAGTTGTAGGACACCCAGCCCGTGTTGCAGGATTGCTTGCTCTCGGGAAAATGGCTGCACGTTTGCGTGTCAGAAGTATTGGGAGTAGAATAGCAAGACTGCAGGGAAGGAAATAATGTTTCAGTGAAGAACTTGAAGTAACGGTGCATATTTTCAGATGCGCTGAAAAAGTTTACTTGATCGTTTGATCCTGGATTTTGATTTGAATATTAATAATTTGTTTTTGCAAATCTTTTCAACTTAACAACAGCATTGCACTATGTAAGTAACTGGTTTTCCATGTGAGATTTTTAAAATATAATTCCTGTTGCACTGTCATTGTAGAATTTATTCTCCTTAATCTTTCTCTTTGTGTACTCTTTGATAGTGTATACCCAAAACACAGGAAGAATCGAGTTGGCTTTAGAGGGATAGGTGAGAGATCATCCCTTTTTACAGCTTTTCCAAGTACCTTTAGAGCACGGAGCTGCAGGTGACTTCTTGAAGTGTCCAATTATTGGTCATTTTGCACCGACTCCTCCATTTCTGCTCTTGGGAGAAAAAGCCCTCATAGCTTCAGTTGGTCCCTTTTAACTGTTCTGCAGGTTTAATTTAGAATAGAGTGAATTTGAAGACTAACTTCGGTTTATTTGATTCCCAAACAAGGCAAACTTCAATTTCCTTTGCTTCCCTAAGGAAAACTTATTAAGAAAGTTTTAATTTAAAATTTGGTCATCTTCAAATACATTTAAGAAAGAAAAACTATTTCCTTCAACCTTTAAGTTATTCTGTAGTTATGCAGTGAATTAGAAGGCTTTTGCCTGGTATGAAAGAAAGTATTCTTTATTTGGGTCTTGGGCCAAGGATTTAGAATTCCATTCAGAATCGATTGTCATTCTAGGCCCACTTAGGTACATGCTGGCTCAGCTGGTAATATTCTTTTACCCTCGGTACTAGACTCTTGACCTAAAAGGGTCTTTTCCCTTTGCCTTCAGGCATACTCTGTTTTGTTTTAAAATAGATTTTATGTTTTAGAACAGTTTTAGGTTCACAGCAAAGTTGAGTGGAAGGAATAGAAGGTTCCTGTATTCCCCTGCCCTCACGTACACTCAGCCTCCATGAACCTGCACTGACACATCATTGTTGCCCAAAGTCCACAGTTTCCATCAGGGTGCGCTCTTGGTGTTTTATATTCTGTGGGATTTGACCAATTTGGAACAGCATGAGTCCATCATCGTAGTATCATGAAATAGTTTGACTGCTCTAAAAATCTGTGCTCTGCCTATTCCTCTCTCTCTCTCTCTCTCTCTCCCAACCCTTGATCTTTTCACTGTTGTGTTTTCTCGAATGTCATTGCATTGGAATCATACAGTATGTAGCCTTTTCAGATATATTCTTTCACTTTGTAGTAAGCATTTCAGGTTCCTTCATGTCTCTTCGTGGCTCAGTAGCTCATTTCTTTTTAACACTGACTGATATTCCCATTGTCTGGATGTCCTACCTCCTTTGTTTCATCTATTTATTTATTATTATTTTTTAGAATATTTGGAGTTGCGGGTGTCTTTCTTGTGCCTTTGCAAGCCTCAGGCTCAGCCCTGTCTTTTGTAGAGTCCCAGTTCTGTCACTCACATCGTTGGCAGCTCTCCACAGGGAAGCGATTCTGGGTGGACAGAGGCTGTTTGAAACAGAGCCCGTTTGCTCCTAGACAGGCCGTGGGAACTTTCACATACACAGCACTGGTACTCAAGATGCTGTTGGTTATTATCTTCTGTGAGGAGCAGCAGAGGACTAGAAGCAGTTTCTGCTTTAAGGAGCTTTGATCTCAGATCTTTACATCAATGTAATATTCTCTATCTTTGCTCTCCCCTGAAATCTGTCACATTGTGGGCCAGTCGATTCCACCTTATTTTTTTCCAGCCATCAGACCCATGCAGGTATGTGCCTTTGAGTGTGACCTTTCTGTGTAGGTAGTTTAGACGTTAGCCAAAACTCATGAATTGTCTGATTTTCTTTTTTTCTTTCTTTTAATTTTCCAGTCCAACAAAAGAGAGTTGGAAGATTTTTTTTCCCCCTAGTGTTTCAGTGACTTCGTGTGGGAAATCTCTTCTATCAGTATATGTGTTTCTAATTGAAAAAGTTTCTCCTTTTTTCCCCACTGGAGTACTTTTTGGCATGGTGCAGTTTCTTTAAAGGGATGAAACAGTACATTTCACAGAAAATAGGCTCACTTTAAAGGAATGAGAAAAACATGTTTTACAGAAGGAATAAATATTCAGTTTAATGAAAAAGGATTATAAGAGACTTGAAATAATAGAGCAGAAGAAAAAGCTGGTATCTATTGGCTCACAGCTGTTGGGCCAGGAATGATATAAAGAGCCCTTAAATGAATAGTTAAAATATGGCTTGTATTGTCCTAGCGTGTTATAAAGAAATTGTTCACCCGTGCAGGGGTTCCTAGAATTTGGTTATCTTAAATGTGGGATTAGGCGGTTATTTACCTGAATGTGATCTTTATATCTTATACATTAAAAATACATGTCAAAAAAATAAGTTTAGGAGCCTTTGCTCTTTCATGAAACCAACAATAGGAGTAGCTTAATTTCTAGCCAAGTAAATTCTTCTAGAGAAGTTAAGTCAGCACCTACAAAGTATTTTCTTGTAACAGAAGGTCAGCCAGCAATGTTTAGAGTTTGACTTCGTTGATCTAAAGGATGTAGTTTGAAGGCTCTTTCTTTTCCCTCTTAGATAATGAGAAAGTTAGACAGCTGCTTCTGGAGGGTGTGCCTGTGGACTGTGCGCATAGCTTTATTTGGAACCAAGCTATCTGTAAGAATGTCACAGAGAATAAAATCTCGGATCAGGTAACTAATGGTGTAAGGATTGTTGGTCAAGTCCTAAAGACAGGTTGAAATTCCTCACTCGAGATGCCGTAAAAGTTATTTCATCCTTTAGAGAATCTCATAGACGCCCTTTTATTTTCAATTTATTGATGCCTTACTTATGATTTTTTCTGTTCTTAGAGAAGAATAATCTCAAGAAAAATTTACTATGAAGACTTTTTCTTAAAATGATAATTCCATGATTTAAATATAGGTTTTTCTTTTATTTTCTTTTTCCCTTAAATGTTCTATCTTTAATCTCATAGTGATTGAGCTCTTACCCAGATCAGGGATTATAGCAGATTGATGAGCTAGATGGCTAGGATATGTTTAAGGAAGTACAGGGTCAAAGGAAGCCCAAAGAAGGAGTACTAATCCCTGACTAGGGAAGTTGGGAAAAGCTTCCCGGATAGGGGAGCTGGTGTTTGACCTGACTCTTAGGTGGGTGGACAGAATTAAACCAGACTTCTTGGGGGCCAGGAGACAAGGCTGCTGGAAGTGAGACCAGTATGTGCAAGGGCCCATGATGTGATCAGGAATCTCTAAGTGAGTCAGTAGCTTGGAGTTGAGGGTGGGGCAGGAGATGAAGAAGTAAAAAGGGTTCAGAGCATAAGAGACCTTGAAGTATTTAAAGGATTTGGGCAAAGGACATAGGGCATCACTGATGGTTTGAAGCTGGGCCATGACATGATCAGATTTCACCGGCAACACTGTGGAAGGTAGATTAGACTAGGAATGGGGGTTCGGGCAGAGGAACTGAAGAGAGGGCTTGTGGTTGGATGGCCTTAAGAGACCCTGCAAATAGTCCTTAATTGAGGACATGATGGGGGGACTGAATCGAGACTGTGTGGATGGAGTGGAGGGGCTGGGGTTGAAGACAAAACACAGTCGTTGATTGGGTGGCTGTAAGTGGGAAAGGAGGAGACCTGTAAATTAGCTCCTAAGAGTCTAGCTTGAATTCAGTACTTCAGGTAAAAGAGACCCAGAGCCTGATTTATCACTGCTGTATTCCCAAGTTCTAGAAGAGTGTTTGTCACATAAAATATACTCAGTAAACATTTGAATGGATGAGTCAATGAATGAAGAGCAGACATGTGAATGGATGAATGAATGAGTGAGTGAGTCAGTCCCCCAGCCAGGTGGGGAACACAGGAGGAGAGCGGATGCAGTAGGGAAGATGAATTCAGTCCTGGATAAACTTGAGTTGGAAGGTCCTCAGGACTTCGCCATCAGAGTAGATGCCCAGGAGACAGGTTTTGATCCCAGGAGGAAAAGCTGGGGCTAGGAGATGGATATTTTAGAATCAACACCATGTAGAGATGGTAGTAGAAACTCAGCCCAGAGGTGAGAAGGATACTCAGGACTTGGTCATGATCAAGGAGCATCCGTGAGGTAGGAGGCAGACTTGGCTTCGTGGTGGTGGTCTCTTACATAGTCTCTCCTGTGGGTGCTAGGCCTCTCTCCTGCCCGTTCATCTATTTTTACAGCTGGCAAGACAAGTCTGAGGGGCTGTTGTGTACCATTCCCTACAGTCCACATAACAAATAATTTATAGCATCTTCTCTTTTAAATCTTTAAGACCTGGTGAGAAAATTTCTCAAGAGCCCCAGAGTGTTTGCCCACTCGCGCCTCCTTGAGAAGTTATTGTTTGTACCTTTTTTTTGTTTGTTTGTTTCTATCACCCACCGTTTTTTTTTTAAACCTCCTGACAACAAACCTTAACCAAAGTAAATGTAAGGACTGAACATCCAAATACAAAATTAATCCTGACATAAGAGATTAGCAGAATGGATGTGGGTTATTATATAACTTTGAATCATCTGGTATTGTGTAGCTCAAATTTAAGATAATTTGGCATTTTCTACCGAAACACTCGTATAGAGGAAAATCATTGTAGGAGGAATACCATGTATTTCAAATGGCTTCCATTTATTTACTGAGAACATTTTTTTCCCTTGTTTTTTGAAAGAGCATTTAACTTTCTAAAGCTGCTCATCAGGAGAGCCAGTAGAATCTCCCAGAAAATCAGTGTTGTTTGTCTTGAATGATTTTCTTCCGCTTTAGGATTTAAACCGGAGAAGAAGTGAATTGCTGGTGCCTGGGTCACAGCTTGTTCTAGGTCCCCAGGAATCCAAGATACCTATACTTTTGATTCAGCAGCCAGGGAAGGTGACCGGTGATGACCGACGAGGCTGGGGAAGTGGCTGGGACATCCTGCTCCCCAAAGGCTGGGGCATGGCTTTCTGGATTCCATTTGTAAGTTCTTTTTCTGTTCCCACTGTAGAGTGTAAAATACATTCCTAGTCCATTCCACATGCTGAAAGTGTTCCACACTGCATGCCCCACTTAGAAATCGAGGGCTGTTTTTCTACCCTTGGAGCTATAATTCTGATCCAAGGTACTTCATAATGTCCCCAGAGCCGGCTTGTCATTAATAAGAGTTGGGCTGACATAGTGTGAATTTCTGAGATTTTGAAAGTGTCCTGATTTTTATTTGACAGACAGAGATCACAAGGTAGGCAGAGAGGCAGGCAGGGAGGGGGGCCGGGGGGAAGCAGGCTTCCTGCTGAGCAGAGAGCCTGATGCGGGGCTCGATTCCAGGACTCTGAGATCGTGACCTGAGCCGAAGGCAGAGGCTTAACCCACTGAGCCATCCAGGCGCCCCAGAAGTGTCCTGATTTTTGAATAGTAGTGGTAACAAACTGGGCAGGGAACCTGACGTGAGACTTGGTCCCAAGAGCCTGGGATCATGACCTGAGCCAAAGGCAGATGCTTAACCGACTGAGCCACCCAGGCGCCCCTGAGGTGGCTTTTTGTCTTGTTCTATGTGTTTTATTTGTTACAGTTGAAAAGCACTTTTTAAATTTCTAATTTTTATAGATGTATAGAATACCTTTTTTAGTTTTAAGTGCTGACCATGTATTCCTACTAGCTGCAGCTAAAAGCTTTATTAAAATCCAGTGTGTTTTTTTCTTCTCAATAGTTTATTATTATTATTTTTTAAAGATTCTATTTATTTATTTGTCTGAGAGAGAGAGAGACAGAACGTGCGTGCACAAGCAGGGGGAGGGGCAGAGGGCGAAGCAGGCTCCCCACTGAGCAGGGAGCCCGATGTGGGTTGATCCCAGGACCTTGGGATCATGACCTGAGCTGAAGGCAGATGCTTAACGACTGAGCCACCCAGGTATCCCTCTTCTTGATAATTTAAATATTACTTTGAACCAGAGAGTATAATAGAGTATAATAGATAAGACTGTTAGAATCACATAGGTAATTAATTTTAGCAATTATGCTTGGTACAAGAGACATTCGGTTAATCATTTAAGATTCATTTCTTGGGCTCCTGACTGGCTCAGTTGGTAGGGCATGCAACTCTTGATCTTGGGGTCATGAGTTCAAGCTTCACAGTGAGTGTAGAGCTTACCTAATAAAAAATAATAGTAGGGGTATCTGGGTGGCTTAGTTGGTTAAGCGGCTGCCTTTGGCTCAGGTCATGATCTTAGGGTCCTGGGTTCTAGCCCTGCGTCAGGCTCCCTGCTTGGCAGGAAGCCTGCTTCTCCCTCTTCCTCTGCCTGCCGCTCCCCCTGCTTGTACTCTCTTTAATAAAATCTTTAAAAAAAAAATATTTAAAAAAAAAGAAATGAAACATTACAGAATTATTGGAAGCACTCTCTCCAGCTCCATTTCCCATCCTCTTCCTAAAAGAATCACTTTACCTGTTTTCAGTGTTTGTTTCTACCTTGCCTATTTTTATAGCTTTCTTAAGTATGCTCTGTATTCCCACATAAAATAACTATATTTTGACGTTTTTAAACTTTATATACCTCACCACATTTATGCTTTTGCAACTTACTATATTCACTCAACATTGAGATTTTTTCCTGTGTTGATTGATGAAGCTGTTCCATCATTTTTGCTCGTGTATAACCCGTTGTAGGATTATTCCACACTTACCCATTCTCTTTTTGATGGGCATTTAGGTGGTTTTGCATTTTCTCCATACAAACATTAAGCACTACTTTTACTGTAGGGTGGTGTATTGATAGGGTATTTTTGACATTTCTGTTAGATCTATCGAGGGGCAAGAGTTGGCGGGTTAAAAGAGTCCATGATGCATTCGCAGTACAAAAGGTCACCGGACATCCCCGGAGATTTCCCAGACTGCCCCGCGGGGGTTGTGTTTGCCGAGGAGCAAGCCAAGAACCTCCTCGAAAAGTACAAAAGGTAAGAAACCGGCTTCTCCAGTTTCCTAACATCTTGCAAGGAAGAGAAGGGCCTTCCCAATGTTGGCCAGCGATGCTCGGAATGGCTTCAGTAACTCTTACATAACGTGGAGCGTTCATAGACTTTTCCTTGAGTTCACATAACCAAGACGTAGCGAAGCTAGGAGATCATCTTATACGTGGCTCTTGTAGGCCTGTCCAGGTTACAGACCCTTCCCATGGTCATTTGCTTACATTGATGTTGGCACGTGCCTAAACTGGGGGCCTGAATTTCAGACGCCCGTCCCCTCAAAATAACATTTGTGTTTTTTTACGACCAGTTATAGAGGTAATATGTATTTATGAGATTTTAATGAAACTTACGGGAATGTGTAAAAGTGCTTTGTAAACGGGTGTATTCCTTCCATCTAGAGAGATAAGTAACTATTTTTACATGTTGGTATCTATCCAGCTAGCCTTATTTTTTTCCTTTCTTTTCTCTCCCTGGGGGACTGGCCAGAGAAGCGGTTTGCAACTCTTACACTGTGAAGTGCATGCCACCTTTTAGAGCCCGACTCTCACCTCCATTCCAGGCTTCCGGGAGCACAGAGACTGCCTTGTTTGTTGTGGCATCAGTGGCATGTAGCCAGTGCCTGGTGCATGGTGTCCTTAGTAACTGTCTTTGTTGACTGATGAAAGGAGAGGTAGTGGGATGGCGTAGTTCCTTGACCATGAGCTCCATGATTGTGCTTTCCTGTTCACCATCCAACCACAGAGGCAGGCAGTGCTCGGTGTTCGGACTTTGTCAAGTGACAGGTGAATGAATGAGTGGAAAGACAGGGGTGCTTTCCTGGATTGCTGGCTTACGGGCTCTTTTGAAGGCAGTGATCATGTATTTCGTGCCTCCCAGAATACCTAAGAGTCTTCTATGTGTTTGTTAAGTACTATTTGACAATAGTACTTATTTCTCACCCTTTAGATTTCTTTACCCGTGCAGATTTTTCTTAGGTACAAATTTTCTTGAAATGGGATTATAGTATAATATACTATTTCAAAACCTGTACTTTTTACTTAGCAGTCTATTATGGATAGTTTTCCTGTATCAATAAATGTGACTCTAAACCAAGTGTCAGCAAACTTTTTTTGTAAAAGGCCGGATGATAAATATTTTCGGCTTTGCAGGCCCTTTGGTTTCCATGGCAGCCACTCAGCTCAGCTCTGCCTTGTGGCACAAGGATGACCACGGATGATACATAAAGGAATGGGCATGGCTGTGGGCCGGCCCCATTCTGTTTATGGACACACAAGTTTGAATCTCATATAATTTCATGTGCCATAAAATAGTCTTTTTTTTTTTTTTTTTTTTTTTTTTTTAACCATTTCAAAACATAAGAGCCATTTTTAGCTCCTGGGTCATAGAGGAACAGACAGTGGGCCGGGCTTGGCATGTGAGTCATCATCTGCCATCCTTGCTCCAAATAGAACTCAGCAGTTACCTCCAGGGCTCCCATATATTGAACTGTAATTTGTCAGCGACTCTTTAGTTTATTTCTAATTTTTTGCTCTGCGCTTCTGTGAACAGCTTTCCATATGCATCTTTACCTGTTTGTCTGACTTATTCATTCATTTAATATATTTATTTAGAGCCTACCATGTGTTAAATGCCTTCTAGGCACTGGCACCTTTCCCCGTGGAGCTTATGTTCTTGATGGAAGCACATGTTTCTAGGCTGGTGGGGGAGGGACCCAGCAGAGGGAGGGAGGCTGACATTGCAAGAGCAAAAAGTCCTTGAGTGGGGAAGAGAGAGGCTCAGATCGTTCATTTCAGTTGGCTGGAAGGCTGACTTTGAGATACAAATTCAGATTTAGGTAGGGTAGACTCTGGCCCAGAGATAGGTAGAACTCTCCTGATCATGATGGGCTTCTCAGTGAAAAGAGAGGCGAGGTTATCAGTTAGGACTAAGAAGGGGAGAGAGGCTGTTGGAGATTCAAGGAGAGAGGAATCTATAGAGACCATTTTCTGGACGAGCAGAAGTTAGAATTGACTGGAGAAATGTCAGGGCTTGCACTTGTTTACAGCAGGACCATTCAGGGCTTCTGGGTGTTCTTCCCCAGCCCTGTTCTGTTGATCGGGGCTGGCGTGGGGGTAGTTAGAGGGTTGGATGTAACCAGGATGGGCTTTACCAGGTCGAGGGAGTTGAGGGTACCTGTAAGGGAATGACTCTCCTATGAACCGGAGAGTTTAAGCTTAAGAAGAGACATGTGAAGGTGCCTGGGTGGCTCAGCTGGTTAGGCCTCTGCCTTCAGCTCAGGTCATGATCTCAGGGTCCTGGGATTGAACCCCACGGCCAGCTTCCTGCTCAGAGGGGAGCCTGCTTCTCCTCCTCCCTCTGCTGCTCCCCGTGCTTGTGCGCTCTTTTTCTCTCTCTCTCTGTCAAATAAATAAATAAAATCTTTAAAAAACAACAAAAACATGCAAGAACGGTGGTGAGCTATGAGGAGATGGTGAAGGAATAGTAAGTTCCAGCGCTTCAGGAGTTGTGGTGGGGGAGGGGCAAATGGGCTGGAATGGGAGGTATCGCTCTGAGGGTAGATACTTGAAATTGAGATTTTAAGGGGGAGCAGGTGATAGCAGTGACCAAAAACTAAGTGCCACCAGGAGAGTGTGTGTCTGAGGTGAAGTAAAAGATGGGAAATGAGGACATGAAGTTTCTGGTAGCCCAGGGCGTTAGAGCTGATTTTGGTAGGTGCCGAAGCCGCTGAGTGACCAGAGTCGAGATGGCGGGGGAGGGGGTGTGTGGGCGGCTGGAGGAGGACCTGGCTGAGGAGGGAGAGCGGATGGTCTGTCTGAGGGCGTGTGCTTTGGGGGAGCTGGGATTTTGGAGGAGGAAGGAGAAGACAAGTGGTCTGGGGGCATCAGGGGATCATCTGACCCCCTGCCCCCCAGGCCCATGGCATGTAAGAAAGAAAGCGCGGTCGCTGGAGAGGAGCTGGATGGGAAAGAAAGCACACACCTTAGGCTGAATCCCATCAATAAGATTTCTGGTTTTAAAAAAATATATACACCCCACAGATTTTTTTGTACTATCCATCAATTGCCGTTTGTATTAATTTAGGATTTCACCTATAGTTAGGAGCATGGCTGTTTTCCCTCACTCCGAATAACATAGGATATTACCAATTTCTAATATTGATAGAACTGATGGGTGGAAAAAGTAACATCTTATTGTTTTAATTTTTTGTTTAACGAGTATAAAGTGTTTACTTTTAAGTGTTTTTCACCTTTTCTTTCTTTTTTTGTTACTAGCTCATTTATTTCCATTTAAAGGTCTTCGGGGGAGGCAAGTACCGTGGGAATGTTTTTTGCCAGCTGCCCGTCTTGGGAGGCCAGAACACATTTGGTTCAAACTCCAGAGCAGAGGCTCAAACTGAACCCCTGATTAAGTCTGCGGGTTCATTGTCTACCTGGGGTCCTGGGGCATGGCACAAAGTAAGAAGCATGTGAGGGAAGGAGAGTCAGGGCCTGTCCCACAGGACACTGTCAGTCCAAGGATGGGGTCCGGGACTCCCTAAGAGTCCTCCAGCCCAGAATGGCCAACAGTGCGGCTGCTCCCTGCCTTTCGGGGTCCTGGTTCTCATTAGCTTGTGGTATTGCTGAAAGGCTCTTCTTTCATCCATTGCTAAAAAAAAGCTGATTGCTTTCACCCTGTGAGTTTGGAAATCTCTCTCAAAATTGCAAATGCTCATTGTCTTTGTTTAGCAGTTCATTCGGGAACTTATCCTGCGGATATACTTGTGCTTGTATGACATGTTCAAGGTCATTCGTTGCAGCGTTGTTTCTAGAAGCAAAGATTTGAAAATACCAAAATGCCCTGTAGTGGGGGGCTATCTCATCAGCTGGGGTATAATCCAGGAGTAAGATAGGCAGCCCTTTGCAAAAGAATGAGGGATCTCTTCGTGTACTCATATGAAATGATTTCCAAGGTATGTTGTGAGATGGAAACAGTTAAACAAGAAGTACTGAGTCTGGGATATCACCACCTGTGTAAAATGGGTAACAAAACAGAAAGAAAAGGGTACATATCTGCACATAGGTCCACAAAATGTCTCGGAAAGGATGCATTACAAAGCAGATAATGACGTGATCTCTTGGAGGGTGGCTGGGTCATTCATTTCCTCCTCAGTGTCCCAAGTGAGGCAAGTACCCCAGGGCTGTTTTTCACCAGCTACAGGTCGAGTGGGGGAGAAATCTCACCAGCACCCCTTCCGTTCCCGTGGAACATAGAACATTGTTACACGCAGGGACATTGCAGCACTCCAGGGACACTGTGAACTTGCGGTTTTTCAGAAGGCACCCCCTGGAGTTGTGAGGCGACCATATGGGGCAGATGTATTACCTTTTAAAAGTAAAACCAAAGGAAACAAATAAACTTGGCCAATAGAGTTGGTTGTTATCTTTATCATACTTCTTGGAAAACTTTATTTCTTAGGTTTGTTTTTCAAGTAGAGATGTAGTGCAATGGCCATAATTATTTTTGTGGTTCCGATCCTAAATTGTTCAAAAATTGGTTCTCCTCCTTGATTTTCACTAGGCGCCCTCCTGCAAAACGGCCCAACTATGTGAAGCTTGGCACCCTGGCTCCTTTCTGCTGTCCCTGGGAGCAGTTAGCTCAGGAGTGGGAGTCAAGAGTCCGGGCCCAAGAGGAATGCTCTGTGGCCACCTCTCCAAGTGGTGAGGACGGTGACTCGAGGAGAGACAAGTTGCCTTGCGATCCCACACCTGAAAACACGGATCTGCGGTCTGACGAAGGGGGCACATCTCCGAGCAGCTGCAGTGAGCCCCGAGAAGTCATGGACACAGAGTGCCCAGCCCGGGTGGGGACCGAGTGGGTAGCAGGCCAGGATGCCACCGGCAGTCTCCTCTGCGTTCTGCGGTAAGTGCCCATGACCCCCGGATGCAGTTTTCGTGGTCTCTTTTCCTCCTGACCAGGCTATAGGCTGTAAAGGTTCTCATTGTCCCTTTATGCAAAGCCCTAGGGAACGTCTGGACTTTCTGGGTAGGGGCGGAGGCGGAGGCGGAGGGGCAAGCCAGTCCTGTGTCACCCAGTCCACAGAGGGCTCGGGGATACAGCTGAGTCACATCTGATTTGGGGCACGATACTAATGTGCCCAGATGGTTTAAAGTATCGTCACCCACCTACATGAACCAAGGCAGTTTTCTGTGACCTATTTCATTTAGTCTTTGCTGACAAAGCAGCGCCCTTGCACCAGAGGGTGCCCTGAGGTAACAAGGAACGTTCCCTCTGTGAACTCTGAGTAAGCATTCTTCCCTTTACATCCCCGAATTCCGTTTCTTCTGGTTCCTTTGGAATGACCGGAGTTTAGGAGTGATTCCATGTCCCCTCATTGTAACATCGTCCTGTCAGAGAGGCCGCTGTCCGAAGTGTGTTCCTGCCGCTCCCTGCTTGATGGGGCTTCCCAGTCACGCTCTGGTCTGTGCTCATCCCTCTTGCCTCGCACTTCTTTTCTGTACAGTGACTTCATTTCCTGTCCTTCCTTCATTTCAGAGCTGTCTCTCTCAGCCTTAGATTCTGTCTCATTTTTCTCTACCTTTAGCTTCTTAAACCTTTAGTCCCTCTACAAATGGTAGACCCATATGAAGAAAAATATGACAAAAATGTATTAATGTCTGTTTTCAATTTTTGAAGAAATTACCATTTTGACCCTTCCCCACATAGAGTCTAAAAAGGCCAAGTTAACTCCCAACAGTGCCCAGTCTTCTGACGGCATGTTTTCTCCCTGAACAAAATCTCCTCAAACGTGTGTCTCCCACTTCACGTAGGAGTAGGAAATGGCTGAAGCAGCTGTCGACCTGGTGTGGGCCCGGCTCCGGGGACAGGCGGGCAGCCCGGCGGGCTCCGGGCAGTGGGCAGCCAGCACCGACCAGAGCGGCCTGCCTGCCCCTCCTGGAGCGCTTCCCCAGGGCGCTGGTGTGGGTCAGCCTGGCCCTGCTGAGGAAGGGCAGCCCCGAGCTGCACTCCATGATCTGTGTCCCCGCCGAGGAGGACTTCCTCCGGCTCCGTCAGGATCAGCTGTACTGTGGGCCCCAGGAATCCAAGCACAGTGACCCCTTCAAGAGCGAGATCCGGAAGCAGAAAGAGAGGAAGAAAGTGGAGAAGAGGCAGAACAAACAGGCGCCCGCTGAGCCTGAGGGTCTGGCCAGGGGCCCCCCTGCAGCTGGACACCGAGCTCTGACCCTGGGCCTGTGGTCAGGCCCCCTCCCGGGGGTGACTTCTCACTGCTCCAGAGTTCTCCTCGGCTTTGTGACGCAGGGAGACTTCTCCATGGCCGTCGGCGGCGGAGAAGCCTTGGGGTTTGTTAGCTTGACAGGCTTGCTGGATATGCTGTCCACCCAGCCGGCAGCCGAGAGGGGGCTCGTGTTGCTGAGGGCGCCCGCCTCCCCGCAGTATCGGTTTGCGAGAATTGCCGTGGAGGTGTGAGCGCCCGTGGACACCCCGCAGCAGAGACGGGCTAACTGCTTGTTTGCCAAGTCCCCCTGTTGGAGAGTTTTGTTTTTGCCATCCTCTGCTTCGAAATATCACACGAAATTCCTTGGAAATGAGAATAAAGATAAGGCATTATGCAGACGAAGGGCTACTGACATCATTCCGGTAATCTCTTGGTAATCTCCTGGATTGCTTCCATCTTTCCTCGTCCTTGCTGTAACACTTGAAGAGTATTGCGCATGGGTAGCCGAAAGCTTTTTTTGTATTGATTTCTTGGTCTCTGTCATTCTTGCTGAACATCATTAGATGCCCTTGTATGTTTTCTTGTTCCTTTTTTATTAGGAACAAAGGACTGTCAAGTGTATTTGAAAAGCCCTGTAGACACGAGATAAGCAACAGTGGTTGTTTAATGGTGTGATTGTTAGAGGCGAGGGAAAGGCTATAAACACTTGGCCTCTGTGCATGACATAGGGTTCCCTCATCTGGACCACGTTCGAGTCCGTCCTGGAATCAGCGTGTGCCTAACACCTGACACCATGCGGAAGGAAACCGTGGAAAATTACTGCTTGTTTTCAGGCAGGCTCGGTGTATGGCAGAGGGGTTGGGGTGGACTCAGAATGGGGCTCTGGTCTTTAGGACCCATTGTGCCCTTTGCTGTTGACCAACAAATACATGATCCTAGAAGTTACTTGGTTCTTCTGTGCTTTTTTTTCTACAAAAAATTTTTCAAAGCCAGGGAGGCTGGCTTCTCAAAATATGTTCTATGAAGTGTGTTATCTAAAAAAAAAAAAAAAAAGATTCTAACTTCATTGATTTGGGAAACTATGGGTTAAAGGAAGCTAAGCATTTCTTTTTAAGGGATTTCTAGAACCTTCCATGTGATAATATGCATTGTGCCTCTCCAGGAAGCAGATAACAGCCTACAGTATTTTCTAAATCTTTTTGATTCCCAAACTCCTTTTGCAAGGAGCACTCTGTAGGACCAGTGTTTTTAGGGACACACTTTGGGGAACGTGGCCGTACCATGCAGTACTTACCTCTCTGACAGGTGATGATTAAAAGGACGGCCTCTTTTAGACACTCATGCAGTCACGATGTCCACCTGACAATGGAGCAGGGTGTTAAAGAGGTCTTGTCCTGTCCCACACAGGAGTGCCGTCATAGCTTTTATCACTTGCGGAGAAACTGGGTGCTCATTCACATTTCGTTACCCTGTGCGTCTCACACCCTCCAGACCCTTGTCATCCCCCCCCCCCCCCCATTTCTAGCAGAGCCTGAGTGGGGTTTGTTTTTTAATTTAAATGTACAGTTAGGCGTTATTTCATGTAAATGTATTGGGTTTTGCAGTAGCAGTCGTTAGAAATGTCTCTGGGGGAGATGGGCTGTGGGGAGAGACAGCAGGTGTTCCAGTGGCTACTGAGCTGTCCCATGTGTCTCCCTCTCACCATGCCTCTGGATGTATTTGTGTCCAACCCAAATGAGACTGCATAAATAAATAAATAAATAAAAAGAAAAACACCAGTGTGACTTAGTGGTGTCTGTAAACAGAATAAATTCAAATGTCACCTGATGTTCAATTGTGTTTATTGGGCCATTCCTGATTGGTTTTCTTGGCTCTAGGCCACTCCATCTGTGGCTCAGCTCACTGGATGACAGAAGCCTGAGCATGCCGCGAGTCCCCTAACCTCTTTCTGCCTAGCACCCTGCCTGGGGCCTGCCGCCCTGCCCTCACGACAGGACAGGGCACACTTACTCTGCTTTGTGTCAGAAGGCCCAAGAACTATGTGCTGAAAGGATAGACTCGCGTTGCCCAAAATTGGTTCATGGGAGTGCTGGTCCCTGGAACTGTCTCCTGGAAAGTGATGGCCAAACAGATTTGGGAGGGCTGCAGTCCACATTCTCCTCTTGCTGGTTCACACCGCACGAGTGTCACCAAGCCCCTGCAGATTCCAGGAAGGAAATCGAGCTGTCTTTCACAGACCTCCCCTTCTCCCCTGTTGTTCTTCTTTTGGCATACCTGTTGTCCAGAGAACATGAGTTTCGGGGAATATACTTCGCAGAATCACTGACAAAATCTGCACCTATGTGGGGAAGAATCCATTTCTCCTGTGAAAAGACACAGGAAGGGTGTTACTGTCCACAGCAAAAAATGAATAAATGTGTTTATTTTGATTCTACCGGTGCTGCAGAACTACCAAAAAAGTACGATGTGGCCCCTGGCCTCTTTTCATGAGGGTGAATCCTCCAGAGTTTGCCAAGTCAGGAAGTGTCCCAGAAAGCAGCGTTGTGAGCTCAGCACCTGGAGACCAGCTACACACCACCTGAGTGGTGTAAGACAGAATTGATTCCTTCTGTAAGATGATGCTCAGCTTTTCAAAAATATTACACACAAGTAATATTTTTGTATTAATATTCATCATAGAAAACCTAGAATATGCTGGTAAGCAACAGCAACAGCAGTTAAAATCACCGGGTTTTCAGCACCCACATGTAACCTATGTTATCTTTTTGGCACATACCCTTCTAGACCTTGAGATGTGTGCCAGTAGCTTTCTTTTAAGAAAAATAGGGTCAGGGGTGCCTGGGTGGCTCAAGTCGGTTAAGCGTCTGCCTTCGGCTCAGGCATGCATGCGCTCTCTCTCTCTGACAAATAAATAGAATCTTAAAAAAAAAAAGAAAAAGAAAAACAGTCAGTAATTGCTCATGTAAGAATCCGTATGGTACTTCTCAGGTTAAGATCATGTTGCCAGTTCCTTACAGAGCTTTATGGAGGAACGTGAATGTTCCTCCTCTTTTGCTGGTAGGAGGAAGTTTGTAGGTAACGGCTCTGCTGGGAACTCGCCGCAGCATTGCTGGCTGAGCTGCTGCAGGCCTAGGGAGGGCCAGTGGGAAGGGAGGTGGACAGGTGACAGCTGGATGGACAGCTGGGTGGTCTTAACTGGTCAGGACTGGGCTGCTCAGCAGGGAAGAGTACGTAACAAAGACCACCTGGGGGTCCTCAGAGTCACACCCCCTGTTACACAGCTATCCCTGCCACGGAGGGCCTGTCCAGAACTCAGGGGTATGGGTACTGTCCTTTGGACAACCAGGACTCTCACTCCTGGCTGCTCGTTAGAATCCTCTGACCGCCCAGAAAGCCATCTCGGGTCAGGCCCAAGCAGCCGTATTTCTTTAAAAACCCCAAGGCTGCTCTGACATGTGACGTGGGCTGAGGCTGCAGGGGTGGGGTGGGAGGTCTGGCTCTTCTGAGCCCCTGCACCTTGGGAAGGTATGACTGGACCTTACCACCCTTGTGGCTGGACCAGGCCCAACTCACAGGTCTGTGGACTGCGCTGTGAAACAGCCAGGTGGGAACTTCATGGGAGCGTCGTGGTGGGCCTGGGCGGCCCTGAGTGGGGGCTTCCACCTGGGGAGAAGGCCTGGGCTTGAAAGAGAGAACAGCCCGGCTCATGACTTACATAACCTTCACGACCGAGTACAAAATGAGGTCTCTGTTTTCTCTTCCCTTTCAGAGCCTCTGATCTCAACTTTGGCTCCACTTTGGGAGTCGCTTGCGGAGTCTTCCAAGCCCGGGTGCCTGGGGCCCGCATCCGGGAGATGCTGAGTTAACTGGCGAGGGGTGTGACCCAGACACTGGGATTCTTAAGAGCTCCCTGACGTGACTTGCAGCCACGATAGAGAACCACTGTTCTAGACTTTTAATGTGAGGGTCCCATGCAGTTAGGCAAGAGCACAGAAGCCTATCAGTGACGGGGAAACATGCAGGGTGGGAGCAGACGTAGGCTGTCTTGAGTGAGGCACCCGGCTGACACTGATGGCCACGAGTAGGGTCCTGCAGGGTCGGAATGAACAACCAAGTTCACGTAATGGCATTTCCCTTCCCTGCTTTTTTAAAATGAAAATTTAACCCGGTCAGGTACTGTTCTAGAAGAATCTACCCTAACCATTGTGTGCTTTCACCTCAGGAAATGTTTATAAACACAGGATCCACCTAGTTTCTCTCTCCAATCACTGTTCTTTTGGCTTCTTGAACAGCTAAGCCCTTGGTGCCCCCAGGACTTGGAAGACCGAGCGTGTGCCGTGCCGTGTTTGTGGAACGTTCTTGCCCCTCCTCCCCGCTCGCTGCACCCCGTCCCCTCTCATCCCATCCTTCCTAGTTGATTTCATATTTCTCAGAGAGGCCTCCTCCTGCCTACATTATTTTCTATCACAGAAGGGTTTATTTCTTGAAGGACATCACAACCTATAATAATGCTTTGGTTATTTACTTTTCATTGTCTACAGCTGTGAGCCTCATGAAGTGGTTACTATGTCTTATTTGACTACTGTTGCACTCCAGGCTCTAGCTGAGTCCCTAACCCATGCCTGGCATTTATTTTTGTTGAATTGCTGTGCTAATCAAAGAGCGTGTTGATGGGGCGCCTGGGTGGCTCAGTGGGTTAAAGCCTCTGCCTTCGGCTCGGGTCATGATCTCAGGGTCCTGGGATCGAGCCCCACATCGGGCTCTCTGCTCAGCAGGGAGCCTGCTTCTTCCTCTCTCTCTGCCTGTCTCTCTGCCTACTTGTGATCTCTCTCTGTGTGTCAAATAAATAAATAAAATCTTTAAAAAAAAAAAAAAGAGCGTGTTGATAGTAAATTGTATGAGCCTGTTTTAACACAGGCGTGTGTTGCAATGGACTAATGCGCCACTAGGTGGTGCCAAGACCTCATGAGAAAACAGACGCTCTGGAAAAACATCAGAACTAAAATACGATTCAGTTGTGTATATCGTTGTGTAAATCGGGGCGGTGGGGGGGTTATGAAGTTATGGGTCAGTCAATATTCCTTCTTTTGGGGCAGAAACATACTGTTAAAAATCTTGGTTTGAGGGGCACCTGGGTGGCTCAGTTGTTAAGCATCTGCCTTTGGCTCAGGTCATGATCCCAGGGTCCTAGGGTGGAGCCCTGTATCAGGCTTCCTGCTCAGTGGGGAATCTGCTTCTTCCTCTCCCTCTGCCTGTCGATCTGCCTACTTGAGCTCTCTCTGTCAAAGAAATAAATAAAATCTTTTAAAAAAGACTTGGTTTGAGATGTTTCCATTTTTTTTTAAAAGATTGTATTTATTTGAGAGAGTGAACTCGAGAGAGATCACAGAGGGAGAGGGAGAGGGAGAGGGAGAAGCAGGCTTCCCACTGAGCGGAGAGCCCAGTGCAGGGCTTGATCCCAAAACCTTGGGATCATGACCTGAGCCCAGGGCGGTCACTTACCCGACTGAGCCACCCAGGCGCCCCAGTCTCCAGGATTTTTAAAAGAGGGTCCTAGATAAGAAACAATTTCTCAGCTCTTTTCTGAAAAATGAATCCCCTCCTCATTATCCCTGGTAAGTTTGCCCTCCCTCCATTCCAAGCTGAATGCCCCCAGTGACAGGGAGACAGTCTCCCCTCGGCACTGTACAATGGTTGCACGGCCCCTTCAGCCCCAGCGTAAGCCTATCTCCCCTCATCCTTACTTCTGTCAGCTTAGACTGAGAGCCAGCCCTTTCTTAGGGCTTTTAGCCCCTTATTTTAAAAAATTTTATTTATTTATTTATTTTTACTTATTTGACAGAGAGAGCGCTATCAGATCACAAGTAGGCAGAGAGGCAGGCAGAGGGGGAGGGGGAGGCAGACCCTCTCCTGAGCAGAGAGCTGGATGGATGCAGGCCTGGATTCCAGGACCCTGGGATCATGACCTGAGCCAAAGGCAGAGGCTTAACACACTGAGCCACCCAGGTGCCCCTTAGCCCCTTATTTTAGGAAGCGGGTTTTGCTTTCTCCTC